AGCTGCGCAAATCACAAATGACTACTTCTTTTTTCTGTTTCATTTCGTAATTTTTGAAATTTAAACCTATCATAAACTTGTCCTAGTCGCTTCCTCTTCCATTCGAATTCTATCAAAACATCAAATCGATTTGAGGTGGGAAATCGCTTTGTTAACTCTTCAAAAACGACTGGCAACCATTACCAGCTAACGCTGCCTAAAATCCTGTTCAAATCTGCTTTTAAAGATTGATTTGCCTAACACACAACACACTGGTAATTAACTTGATCCATTAGAAACACACCTGAATACCATAGAAATTATGCACTGTACCTGAACTTGAAGAAAATGCTGGCCGGCCTTTTGATGTTGAAGACGCAGCGCAATTTGCCCAAGAATCCGATCTACAACACCAACGCGGAGAATTCAGCACTCTTGCAGATAGATGAATGAATACTAGGCTTAAATTAGGAATTAAAATTGCCCTTTTTTGAGGTAAAGGAAATGTCTTTCACCACATTCCTCCTGCGAATTCCTCACCTCTAATACTGGGATAACGACTTTCGTGATTTCTGTACTGGTAGACGCCATTCAGTCTCAAAAATCCTTCCGTCTTAGAAGGAAAAGGCGTTATTTTCTTTTTCTTTTTTTTCTTTTGAGTTTTTGGTGATAATGTCTCTCCCCCCGCCCCTAAGAAAAAATATTGGTGAAAAGTTCGTGGAAACGATAACAACGACGACACGATGATGTTAATAATGACGATGATGATGATTATGATAATCATGATTATAATCATGATGTTGATGATGATGATGTTGATGATGATGATGATGATGGTGATGTTGATGATGATGATGGTGATGGTGATGATGATGATGATGATGATGATGATGATGATGATGATGATGATGATGATGATGATGATGATGGTGATGGTGATGATGATGATGATGATGATGTTGATGATGATGATGATGATGGTGATGATGATGATGATGGTGATGATGATGATGATGATGATGGTGGTGGTAGTGGTGGTGGTGAAAAGGATGACGATGACAAAAAAATCCCGTAAATTTGCTTAAGATAGACTTATCTAAGTATTTTGTTTTCGTTTTAGAAATTTGTTTTCTTATAAGCGCTTTGACGCGATTTTATTTGGCTTTGCATTTTGACCATGTTTTTGTAGGCCGACCAAGAAATTGAAAGCTATTATCGTGTAATTGTCAATCTGTAGGTCATGTCAAGTAAGAATAACGGTTTCTAATAACTTGTCCTTTGGTGCTTCTTGCACTTTTTAAAGAACGCTGTAATTTTTTCCTTTATCTAAATGATAGAAATTGTCTACGATCAATTTTACATTACCACAGTTTCTGCTTTGCTGAGCACCGAACGGGATAAGACCCTTAAACCCTCCCAGATCATACAGGAATGTCATGTGTCTTTACAAGATTAGTCACTAACATTGACCCTTCTTTTCAGCCGTAATCCAAATCCGTTTCCACTGTGCTATCTAATATAAGGTTTACATGGTTATAAAAAGCGCCTACTCTGCTGTCACAATTCAGTACCGATTCTGCGCGTCCTTTTTATGCCTAACATTCTGACGTACTTTCAGTTATGACCCAACAATACTATCGCGGTTGATAACCGAACCTCTACGTAATAAAAAGCAGTACAAGAAGGATCTGCAATGTTCCGATGTCGACAGAATTCAGTAAAAATAAAAGGTATTGAGTCTATTAGGTACTGTTTTTATTTATTAGCCTCCTCGCTGAAGGATGATCATTCAGGGACACCCAACGGCAATTTTCGGAAAATATCTGTTCGGAAGACGATTTGAGATCTAGAATTTTCGGAACATTTCTTGTAAAATTTCTTGCTTGCCTGCCTCTCCTAGGATTTTCGAACATCTTCAAAATGGTATAATTACGCGTTTTTAACGGATTTTTACCCTAAAAAAGGCCACCTAGAATTTTCGGGAACCTTTTCCTGGCTTAAATTTTCGAAAAGGTAAGTTTTGATCCCTATAATTTTCGGATCACTAGACTTTCAGCTAGGAAATCCGAACAGATGAAAAATTTTTAGGGGATAAAAATATGCCTATAGCTACCGTTTAAATACTAAAATACGTTCAACAATGCTATGTTGAGTGGTTTTGAACCATATCGTCGTTGGGTGCCCCTGATCATTCCTTTGGAAGCTACTCACAAGCACTTTTCACTTAGAGGTTCTCAGTGTTTAGAATTGCTAAAGGTCATCGTTTTGTAAAATGTCCTCGAAGGCTTTAGATGAAATAATCAAGTTTACCTTCACCAGATCAACCCACTATTATCAAGTCGCGGACTCACTGATTGATAATCAAAACAATATTTTTGCAAGTGCGTTCTGCATTGTATACTGTTACCCGCACTGGCCTCTGTAAAGAACTGACAACGTGACCTCTCTGTTGCAGAAACTTTCCGAGACGGCGAGACTAGTCATTTCCCTTGCGTGCCCCAGACTTTTTAATTTTTGAATTACGAGACCCTCGAGACTGAAAAAGACTCTTTGATTAAAAGAAATAATAAAAACGAGACAGTGAGGAAGCGAGAGAGTCTGTTACATGAAGTTATAGAAAGACCCTTCAAACGCTCTATAAAACAAAACAGTGAAAGATTTTGAAAGCATCCCCAAGTATGTTCAGACTGATTAAAAAAAAGAATTTTCAGTCTCTTTCAAGTTGTTTTTTTTCTCTGGCGTTGCTTTGACTTGTGTAAAGTTCAACAGTTGAGGGAACATAAGTGGTTCAGAGATCCAGATCGGCGCTCGCGTGCAGATTACTTCCTGTCGACGACACTGAGAATCAATGTTGTTTATTTAAAAGCTTTTTACTAGGCTATGCTGTTTTGAGCTTTTCTGTTTTATAAATAAAATTTGTCTACAAAAGTTATACAACCTAGACTGAAGTAAGTAGGAGACATCAAGCAACAAAAACAAAACAATAGAAAACATAACACAACATTTGCTAACACTGCAGGGTCAGAGACTGATCGTCCGAGGATTGTCCTTGGTGCGTTACCATGTAGCTGCCGGATAACCGGAATCTGCGGAATGCGTAAAACTTTCCCCTGCATTGAAAATAAAGATTTTCCACCCGAACTTGCGACTTAAGCACTTATCACTCTCAACTATCAGTGACTATTTTAACCCTAAATCAATGGATAATAATCCGAAAAAATAAGTCCGTAGATGTAAGGGTGACAACCATGGCTGCAAACTTTCAGCTCTTTAATATTGTACTCACATTGGCGAAGAGCCTATGGCACCTTTGTGTTTCTGAGGCGTTTTCCAATTCACTTAGGTCCAACCCCTCCCCTCACTCCACAAACAATGTTGGATGCGTGTATCCAGAATTTTTTTCCGAGTTTCAACTTTGTATAGGGTGGGGGGAGGGAGAACTGCAAGAAAATTTCGAAAATGGTTCACTGTCTAGAAGGGAACCGAGAAATGACAGAAAAATATGAATATTGCACTACTGTCCCAATGATGTGACCAGGAGCTTGTATGCCTCGTTCGATGCTCGTGCAGTTTGAAGGCCTTGTTGAGATAAACGTACCTCCCCTTGTAGTGGCGAAATTGCAGACCATTAAACTTTCATTTCACACTTTCAATTGAAATCAACCCGGCAAATTAATATTATGTTTGGCTACTGTCGAAGTCGTCCAACTTCGCCTCGATCTCTTATCAGGTCTTTGGAGAATAGAACAGCGATTTATCTTGATAATAACATCATAATTTTCGCCCCAGTTCAGGGGATAAATAAATAATCTCCCACTTGTACATTTTGATCTGAAAATGATAAAGAAATCCAGTTGGAAATTGAATATTTCCTCATGGCTTTGTCCGCCATTTTATTTTTATGTGTACCGGAAGTGTGATGCTCACTTTCAGTTCCGGTCACATCGAAGCGAGGCAAAAAGACAAAACAGTAGGTTAATTTTCCCCTGCTTTGATCAGCCGGGCGTAGTGGCGCACGCCTGTAATCCAGCTACTTGGAGGCTGGGGTCTCTGAACGGCTTGAGGGTGGGATTCCTGGGGGCGGTTGTCCTGTGTAGATCAGGTGTCCGCGCTAAGTTTGGCGTCAATATGGGGAACACGGAGGAATCTGAGTTCTCCAGGTTGGTTAAAGAGGAGCGAACCGGCCCAGGGTGGAAACACAGCAGGCAAAAGCTCCCGCGTCAAACAGTAGTGGGATAGCACCTGTGAATAGGCGATCGTTCACAGCCCGTTCAAGATAGTCGAACTTGACTCTGTTTTTTTTTTCTTCTTCTTCTTCTTCTTCTTCTTCTTCTTCTTCTTCTTCTTTTGAAATAACATACCATAGAAGTTAGAACTTTATTTAATTGTACAGACAGTGTGCTCTTTTCCACAATGAGGATTTTGTGGGAGTTTACAAAGTCATTTTACAGTAGACCTTTTGAACTACCTGTTAGCGTTTTTTTATTTTTTTATTTTATTTTTTCATATGTAGTCTTTAATTAAACAGATAGAAAAGAAAGAAAAAAGATGTCCCAGTAAACTGAAAACTGCGACAACTAAGAGTTAGACTTTCCATGTGAGATAGCAAACTGAACACTTCACTGGCACTTTCAAGCATTCAAAAAATTAAAAAAAAGAAAATAATATTTTATTAAATGATAAATTAATTTGATCATGGGCCAGGCCACTTGACCGTTTGGCCGGAATTAAGTCCCTTTCGTCGCCGATCGCATATCGCAACGAAAATCTGATGATGAATATATTCATGCCCTAATCAGTCGGCAAGCTTTTGTGATCGGAAAACATGTTCTTCTTCGCTGCGTTCATTGTTGTAAAATTTGCATTTGTTTGCTCCATCGTGGGCTCTTATTGATGGATCGTGTAAACCACCAACCGAACGCGAATTATAAAACTAACAAGGTCGCTGTGGTTCAATTCGAACATCATCTACTGAGAAACGCGAACCGACAACTTGCACATTCGAGTATTTTCTCTATGGGATGAGTTCGATCGGGAAATCTATACGGGATAGGGCGCCGAAATGTTCTATTGTTCTTAACAATGTTTTGGCAGTCGTATTTAGACCGACTTCAACAGCGGTGCAGGTCAAAAACCTTACCCAAGATGAACACTGCGAGAAGGAAAATTCTAAACTGCCGCACCAACTCTCTGGGCTCGAGTTGTTCGATGCGTTTAAGGAAGCAAATCGATCGACGATGCTAACAAGGTTGACGGAAAGTTTAGACGAGATTCGGCTGAAAGGTTGGGTTTTTCCTTTTACATTGTTGATCAAAGGACCGAATGAAGATGTTGAAGTCATCAAGGAAGCATGGAGGCGACACTTTTTACGCAGTCCCGATAATTTTATCATCAAAGATATAGGTAAGCTCAATTATTACTCGCAATAGTTGAACGGTAGTCTCTTTAGATTTTGTGATCGCCGAGATAAGGGTTTCATAATAAGTATATCGAAGTATCGAGGTCAGTCAGTGCTGGAAGTCTGGTCTTCCAAATGAGATTATTTGAATCAAAAACCCTTAACACAATTTCCCTTTATGACGTAGAGACAATCTCGCGGTTTCATGTGTGATTTGACTGTGGTGCCCAAAATCGTTTCAACTCTTTAAGTCCCTCGCAAGAATGACTCGCTGCTCCATCGAATTCGCAACGTTTACAACCTTGAATTTTAAAAATAACCACTTGCTTTCTGGATACGATCGAAGGCTGTTTTATAGTTTTGGTTTTCGGTAAACAAGTTGATTTTTCAGACAGGTGTATTTTATATGACGCCATACATGCTATTGGCAAAACAGAACAGAGGCCAGTTTTCTACAGCCAGCCTTCAGCAGCAAAGACCAGAATTTTCTCTGCTCTAGAAAACTCTTAAATCAATATTCAACTACCGGCATACCCAGACGAATTCGAGCGACTGATCGATTGATATGCGCGTGGGAACTTTTGTATCGTCTCTAACATTTCAACTTTTTTATTACAAAATGATTTACTTAAAGACCAACACAAGAAACATTCAAACATGATCCAGAGTTAATCCTAAGTATTTGATGCAAGTTTACTTTTATTTCCCTAATTTGAATTTTCCATTAAAACAGATTGTCAAAGGTCAGGGTTGGATGATAATGAATAGCCTTGCCTCAATTAGTAGATAATGTTTTATGTCCTCTAAATCTAACCAGATAGGACTTAAAAGAACTGAAAAAAGCGCTATATGCGAAACTACAGGCGTACTTTTAACAAGTGCAACATTCGCGGGCTAGATCTTGTGTCCATTTGCTCAACATAGCATCATCCCCTAAGGACAAAATTATAGTTATTTTGTTTATTGTGATCTGTCTTTTGTTGATGTCTTTTATTTTTTAAAAGCGGCAGAGAATAAACCGTTTAAAACGTTCCCTTGCTGTGATAACCAGTTCCAAAAGGCAGCCACCAATCCCTGCAACAATAGACTCACACGACTTCATACAATCACTTTTTGTTTGTTTTTTTGCTTTGTGAGTTTTGGATAACACGCAACAGAGTTGTTCTTTTTCCTGGTTTTTTTTATTACTCTTGGATTATAATGAATTGCCTTAGTGAAGTCTAGAGGTAGCTTTGTTATAAGGAGAGAACTGCAAGCTATTCAACTTGAAAAAAGCAGCTTAAGTACCGGATGTGCTTTTCAAATCGCTTTCTCGAAGGCTTAACATGGCTTTTTCTGTCAACCCAATCTTGTTGTTTTCGCACAAGGCATGTAAACTATAACATTTGCCTTCCTATTGAGTACACAAATCTTTTCAAAAAAGTACAAAGAAAAAATCCGCTGCGTCATTGCTTATTCCTTCGAACATGACTTGCATTTCAAATTAGTTTTGATGATTTCTTGACATAAGTTTCATTGGTTCTATATTCCATTGACAACGTGCTTCTTCTTACGCCGAGGCTATCAACGAGATTTTTCATATTAAGAGGATCAAGACTCTAAAAAACGTTAAACAGATGTGATTTGATAATTTTTAGCTCGGTGAGAAGGCACGGGCGGACCCTTTTGTTTTATAAAAAAGAAATTGCGTTTTCAACTGGAACAAAAACAGCATTAAGTAAACTATCACTTGTAGGAACACCGTAAAGCAGAGAGACACAGTCGGAGAAAAAATCATTATAGCATGTCTATAGTGATAACGATAAAGATAAATTGAAAAAAACGGGAAATGAGGTCTCTGATTTCCTACTCTTTTCTGTAATCTGATTTTCCCTCTTTCTTTGTTTTGATTATTCTTTGATTTTTTAATTTGTGTTATTATTTCGATAGGGTTAACTTTCGGATACACTGAAAGGATCTTTAGAACGAAGTTCAAACGTTGTTAGCATTTTCCGAACGAATATTGAAATGCGACTGAACTGTTCAAATATCATTTTAGTCTTCCCAAGTGGCTAATTCCGAGATGCATATGTGACATTATTTTATTACTGTCGTCATTTTTACTTAGTTCTTTCTTGAAAAAGGGCCGTCCGGAACACAGATTTTTTAAGCAAAAGTAGGATAGAAACGCCGAATGACACGAACAGTGAAAATTACTTTTGCAAGAAACACTTGAACTGAGAGCTCTATTAAAAATACAAATCAGTTTTATCGTAACCTCTTGTTTGAACAAATATTTATTTTCCAGCGTTGGGATATATAAATCACCTTCAAGTTTATATTGGCAAAGAAATGAACAACCTATATAGATTCCGTTTTACCCAAGAGAGAATGTAAGAAATTTAGGTTATTCAAAAGGTTCTTAACTTAGCAAGAGGGGTCACTTCCTTATTGTATATTAGCTTATATTTCAGCAAATACAAATCCTGTTAACCTCTGAGTTCAATTTTTTTCTGCCAACTACACCACCCTGCCTGCTTACAATTAGGAAGCTTAAGCAACTACGACGGCAGCGAGAACGGCAAAAAAACAAGATGACAATAACTTTGCACGTTCATCACACTTTTTTTGCACATTTGTTTCTCGTCGTTGCACAACCACGACGTAAAACTGCCTAATTTCACGTTTTGTTTCTTCACGATTTTCTATCATAGCTCTAAATTCGTTTTTGAAACTTAGATGAGCCGAGGCAGTCCTTTAGAATTCAGCTCCAGAAACTAAAATTCACCAACATTTGACAAATTGAACGCCAAGGAATAAGTTAGAGCGATGAATTTTGAAACAGCGTGAATTGGCTACTAACGTAGGAATTCAAGTTCCAAAGACAATGGATCCAGAATCCAGAACCTGGAATCCTCGGAATCCGCGACGTGGAATCCAGGCCCCGGTTCCTGAAAGGCCGATTAGAGCTAATCCAGGATAAAAAATTTTGTTTTTTTTTATTTACCTTCCTATGCATTATCTAGCGTAAAATTCTATGCTATCATCACTGAATCTCGGAGTAAAGACACAAAAGTATTTTGTAAGGTCGAGTAATATGTCCTTAGACAAGAAAACCTTTCTTAAAATTTGGCTTAATCCTGGGTTAAACTTAACCATCTTTCGAGGAACCGGTCCCTGAATACAGGACTGGCTTGCATTCCCTTACATGGTGCGATGGTTACAATAATGTTACCAGAATAGGGTTGTTAGCGCTATAAAGTTGTTTTATATTAGCGGCTTTTAAAGGAGCTGTGTATTTGTATTTTTGTATTTTATTTTTTACTCTATCCTATCGGATAATACATCAGTGGTACAATATTAATTAGCACAAGGTTGTTTAAACTACGTGTACACAATATTATCAAGAAAAAAATTTAGAATGTAGAAGGGCACATTATAGCAAAACTAATTATGGCCCTTTAACAAGATTGACTTTATTCTATTATAGCTTTGTTATTCATTAAAACACAAACACGCACGTACGCACTGACAAACACGCACACAAGTCAATATTGAGCAAGATAACATTTTTTAAGTGCCTTTTTTAACACCAACAGGAACTCTTACACGAAAAACTAAATTATTTAAACACACAGAAAGACAACAAATAACACTAAACCAGCCAGCTTCAAAAGTTCAAAACACATCATCATTATCATCATCATCATCGCTGACCGCTATCTCATGTAATTTAGTAAAATTCAGCTCAGTGTTAGAAATGCCGGAACGTGGAATTGCCTGAAACATATAAAAAAAATTATAAAATATAACCGCTTAAAACTGATGAAGGAACATTAAGTCAGCATAGCAAACACAAATGGAGGCACGGATGGAACAAAATTAAAGAGGGACTCATGATAAAATGGATTGTCGAAATGTGTTTAAAAATTCAGTGGGCAGCCTTTTACACTGAGTTGATCTCTGCAGATTTTTGTTTGTTTGTTTGCTAAGTCAGTTATTTTTTTGTGAATTTGAATGATACCATTCGGACATATTCCTGATTTGATCAGTGCTTCCAAGAGCCATAATGGTGGTAGCCTGTGCCAGGCTCTCAGATGGTATAGTGGGAACGTATTAAAACGAGCAAAGCGAAAATAAGACGCGCACGACTTGGGAAAGGGGACGGTGGCGGCGGGAAAAATGGGAGAGAGCCGCCCTGTCTCTCCCCAGCCCCCGCGCGTTTTTCGCATTTCTTTTTACTGAACGACTTTTCACCGGGTCCACCATCATGTCGGAGCCTGGAACAGGCTATAATGGTGGCTCCTAATCAGTGATGTTGTTAGTTAAAGAGTAATTTCAGTCGTCACCAACGTTTCCTGGGAAACTGGTGATCGATAAATCTAAACGAAATAATCTTAACTGCCGCAACACAGCCCCTTCAATTCAATCCTTGGCGGCCTTAAACTTTACTTGTGACCAGTATCTTATTTGTCCTTAAAACACCTTTGCTTTATCAAAAGCACAGGTCCTGAGAATAAAATAAATGATTAGTAAAGAGACAAGGTGCAATTAACTTTATTTTTACTATGCATATATTAGAGCTAAATGAGTCAAAATTATTCTCCTCAATGGAAAAAAAAAGGTCTGACTCTTTCATACATTATTGCCTGCAGGTTTGGTCAGTTCTGTCGGTATGGAGATTATTCAGCAAGCACCATTTCTGCCATTAACAAAGTCATTAGTGGAAACCATCGCGGCGCTGAATGGAATGCAGCTGGTCGCGACACAGGAGTCGATTGCAGAATATCTGGCAAAAACCTATCAGTACGTTCACATGCCCAAAATGAACGTGATTCACGACTGCTTGGGGATTCTCATTAAAGAACGGCGGATTTATCACACAGGGAATGGATACTTTGTTTACACAGAGAGTCCGCCTGAGAAAACTGCAGACTCTACAAAGGAAAAACAGGAAAATGACAAGAAAAATGACGCGAAAGATTCCATTTGCAAGGACTCGAATTCTGCCACGTGCGAGGCTACCTCCAAAAGGAAGACTGCTAAAACTGATAAGGCAGCAAAGAAGAGGGTCAAAGGAAAAGAGAATAGCAAGGCAAATAGAGCCGGGAAGGAGACGGAAAAAGCTGACAGAAAAGATTTAGTTGATAGTGAGAGGTTGAAACGTGCGATAGATCAAATGGATGAAAAGTCCGCCAAACTCGAGCTCCCTAGTAAAGACGACAAAGCGAACAAGACTCCCAGTGAAACTACGAGCGAAAGCGGCGCCAGTGAAACCTCTACCAAAAAGGTTAAAAAGCAGAAAAAGGGCGTGCTTGAACAATTATCCTGTTTTATTAAAGGAAAGTCGTTTCCAAATTCAGACATCGAGGAAGTGAAAGAGGAGCAGACGCCAAAAGAACCCTCCCCTCCCCCTCAAAGCAAGCCTACCCAGAAAACCGCGCCTCTCGCAGTCCAAGAGGACGTGTCACCTACTCTTTTGAGAGGTGTAGGGTTCCGACACCAACGAACTTTATCAGCTCCTGCAGGAAGCCCCTCCTTACCGTTGAGAACTTTTAAACAGGAGCTGCAGAACTGCGGTGAAAGCCAAATAAAAACTGATGTCCCTAATCCTAGGCAGCTTGCACGAAGCAAATCTTTCGTCGCCGCGGAAAGACGTCCCATTACACCCGCACCTTTCTTGCGAAGTAACTCATTCTCTGCTCCGAGCACTAAAGCCGCGCGGCAGATTTCTACTGAAAGCGGCCCTTACGTGACATTGAACAGGCGCACGAGTATGAATTACGGAGACATTATTCGAAATATACCGGCCAGGCAGACAATCCATGTTTCAAGGCAAATTTCGAGGAATATGGGAATTGCCAGGCCTATTCCTGGCATGCCTCAACAGCAAACTCTTGCACGCAACAATTCGATGAAAAATGAAGTACCCCAGAGGAAAGGCAGCTCATTGTCACCTCCAAATACCCCTAGAAATCATCTCTCGCCATCCAGTACTCCTCGCTTAAAAGAAAAATCGCAAGGACGTGTTCATCCTCCGGTGATGCGAAGCAAGTCTTTCACCGAGCCCAGGACGTTCAGGCCGGTAAATCGTTCGATTTCCCATCGCGCAACGATAGCTGGGCCTTATTTCGAATCTCCGCTGCAGCTGCTTTTGGCTAGGAGAACTAACGGGTATATATCACCTCCGAGTCCCGGCGTGCGTGTTACAATCCCCCCTAAAGGAAAGCATTTTACCCCAGGGAAACATCCAGCAATGCCCATTAAAAGGACTCCGCCCAGTTGCCCCTCGCGGAAACAGCCTGACAGCTCACCACGACCGCTCTTTCGGAAGCAAAACATAAATATTTCACCAGATAGAAAGGAATGCACCTCCCCTGTATGTTATGATACCAGTAAGATAAATAACAGAGTCGAAAACTGCAAATGCAATGGCGTCAATAGTGTAATTCAGAAACAGTTTACAGCCGTTTCCAATCCAAAACACGGCTATAAACATGAAGACGTCAGCAACGAACATATCTGCATTGAAGAAATGACGTCATCAGGATCAGAAACAGAGGACAGTTACAGGGAGACTGTGGTTGAAAGTGAGAGCAAGTCACTGGGTGTGTACAAGAAGATAACTGAAGACGGCGTCAACGATAGCCTGACATTTATTGGAATTATCTAATCAAGTGACAGCCGAGTTATCATGAAACAACGGGACTTTTGTTCGACCGCGGATAACATGGTCAACAAAGTTAGTTCTACCCTGTTGCACATTATCAAAAACCTTTAAGCTGCGGTGTCGGCAGCGGAAAGCTTAACTAACAGGGGCGGATCCAGGATTTTTTTTAGGAGGGGGTGCACTCGTCTCTTGCTCTACTTCAACACCAATAAACCACATAGTTTTTTTTTTTTGCAGAATACCAGTTGTATTAGAAAACCGCAGGTCATTTCAGGGGGGGGGGGTGCTCACCCCCTGCACCCTCCCCCTAGATCCGCCCCTGACTAATAAAGTTAATTTCGCGTTTTTTCAACCTCTGTCGGGTTTATCCGACTCCTTCAAATTAATTGTTTGTAAAATATAAGTGACATATGATTATCTCGGAGTCAAACTCTTAAGGGTCGACCTGATCCTGTTTACCGAGAGAACTGAGAAATTCGTCGACTTTGGTACACGCTGAGAGGAGCCGGCTCCTGACACTGATAAATTTTAAGACTTTATTACTACTCTCTAAAAATCCAGCAAATACTTATCTGCGATTGAGAGCAGCATTTGTTTACGAACTGCTAGCAGTAGTTGTTGATTAACGCGAGTGTTTATAGCAAAAATTCTTCTGCTGTAAATTTGCCTTAAAGCGAACGTACATGGAAACGTTGACAAAGCAAACGTTGCCCGGAATTGCCAAGTTTACATGGTGATTTCAATTGTTAACTGTAAATAGTGAACAGAAATATTTAGAGTTGAGATGAATTTATTAATTTTTTAGTACATAAATATGTATTTGGGGAAATGATATTTAGCTTTTTCAAGAAAAAGTTTGGAGCATTTATATTTTTATTTTTATTTTAATCAAACCCCCTTAAGTGTAATCCAGAGAATGGAAATAAAAGAAACAAACAACTTTGTTTTTCAGATATCAAGGAAATCAAGGCCTGACTTGATATCCGCCATCTTTGCACGCACTTTAGGATCAATATCACGTGGTATTTTAGGGGGCAAACAAGCGACAAAATTTGCCAGTAAGGGAAATAGCGGTCAAGTTTAATCTTGCAAAAGTACAGTTCACGTCTACGGTTGCTACTTTACCCAAGAAAGTAAAAATGATCACCTTCACCCGTAAAATTTGCCATATGTCCTTAAGATAAAAAGTTCTTCCTTTTCTCTTGTCTAGAATAAACAAACTCGACCGCGATTTCTTGTATTGGCAGATTTTCATCACTTGTTTGCCCTTTGAGAAACTACGTGACATTGCTTTTATCCGCGTTCAAAGATGGAGGGTATCGTGAATAAGGTCTATTCCCCTTACTATTTTCGAGTTATTATACGTTCTGAGAAACTGCCCACCTACCCTTCCCCTCAACCAACATTATGCCCTAAGTGAGAAATAAGTGTTAATGTTAGCTTGGGGGAGGGGTAGGTGGGCAGTTTCCCACAAACGTGTAATGGTGACAGGAAGGCGACCAATAGCGCCGAGTCTAACAAGAGGAATTTCGAGCGAATTACGGAAAACCAAACTCACAACCAGGCTTCAGACGGAAAGAGCTGAAATTTTTGGATTCGGCTTGAAATTCGTATGATTTGAAGAATTTTACGAAAACCGATGTGCTAACTTCAAACGATGTTACATGCAACAGTTCCCGTCTTCATTTTCCTGTTCCTAGGAATTAGCCGATGGATCTGAGCCAAGAGTTTCTTTCTTACTCGGAACACTCTGGAACACCCCCGCAACAACCCAAATAACTGACGATAGGTAAAATGTAAATCACAAACGCTAGAAACTGTAATCTGTAAAATATTTTTCAAATNCACCTTCACCCGTAAAATTTGCCATATGTCCTTAAGATAAAAAGTTCTTCCTTTTCTCTTGTCTAGAATAAACAAACTCGACCGCGATTTCTTGTATTGGCAGATTTTCATCACTTGTTTGCCCTTTGAGAAACTACGTGACATTGCTTTTATCCGCGTTCAAAGATGGAGGGTATCGTGAATAAGGTCTATTCCCCTTACTATTTTCGAGTTATTATACGTTCTGAGAAACTGCCCACCTACCCTTCCCCTCAACCAACATTATGCCCTAAGTGAGAAATAAGTGTTAATGTTAGCTTGGGGGAGGGGTAGGTGGGCAGTTTCCCACAAACGTGTAATGGTGACAGGAAGGCGACCAATAGCGCCGAGTCTAACAAGAGGAATTTCGAGCGAATTACGGAAAACCAAACTCACAACCAGGCTTCAGACGGAAAGAGCTGAAATTTTTGGATTCGGCTTGAAATTCGTATGATTTGAAGAATTTTACGAAAACCGATGTGCTAACTTCAAACGATGTTACATGCAACAGTTCCCGTCTTCATTTTCCTGTTCCTAGGAATTAGCCGATGGATCTGAGCCAAGAGTTTCTTTCTTACTCGGAACACTTTGGAACACCCCCGCAACAACCCAAATAACTGACGATAGGTAAAATGTAAATCACAAACGCTAAAAACTGTAATCTGTAAAATATTTTTCAAATTTTTTTTTTTTTTCTGTGAAACGTTTAACCCTTTGTGTCATTTCATAAGTCGGGTTGCCATGATTGTCTGCGTGAACGTACAATAGTCCTGAATAGGACTGTTGTTGACAGTGACATTTGACATATTTCTAGCTGTTCCGGTGTTTTGGCGGTAAATGCGGAAAAAATACATTTTTGTACTAATCCGCAAGAAGCAACGCTAATCGAGGAGGGCGATAATTAAACAATGATCAAGTAAGAAAGGATAAAATTTGTCTAAAAAACACAGCTTGCAGATCCGGCAAGTAAACGTAAGTAACACCCAGGGATTTCACCTCATCAGGAGCCCATGGGCCCCTGACGTCATTTACCTGCGAGGCTTCCGGTCATTTTCTCATTTTATTCAATTACCGCTTTTTCAACATTAAAATTTATACCTTTTCAGTTTTGTCTAATTTCTAGACGCTGAACGATTTAATTTGGATTTTTGAAGCCAACTCACGAATTGGTTTAGCTTGCAGTCCTTCAGGTTTTAAGACCCCTGGCGGAACATACATATCTGAAATTTATGGGTCTTGCGAACAACTTGCGGATTCACCCTTTCGGCAAAAATTTTTACCTTTACGTGAAAAACTCCAAATCCCTCAATTAAAAAAATTTTCACCGTTCTTAGCAGGTGTGCCGCTTCGATACGGACGGCAATCAAAAGAAGGTTCAATAGCAACTTAGGTTTGACAAATTAACTGACACCTCGGTTTGTCACCTATGATTTTCTTCAACCTTTTCGTTTTGAAATTTTAAATTACATAGAAAATTAAGTATTGCTGAATGGGATGCACGTCCATGCTATCAATTTGCATTTTTGTAATTTGTAATTACTCGCGAGGAACTCCAACGAGGAACTCCAACCAATATACCACCGGTGTTTGATAGTTTAATTGGCAAAAAATAAATTCACGTTTCCAAGGCAACTGTCAATTAACATGCCTTTTCAAATTAACTAAACTTAACATCTGCAATGGACGATACTGTGATATGTAAACTGCATTTTAAACTTTATTGAATCTTGCATAACGATCTGTATTGATCTTCCAAACACTCAACAAACCTGAAGTCGTGTGAAGAACAATGTGCCGGAGTGAGTGCGGAATAATCACAAAAAATTGGACCTTAACGGAACTAGTTTTGTCATCGTTCTCCCTCATTTTCATCAATTTATTGGCACTGTCTGGAAATTTGCTTGTCATATTCGTAATTTTGCTCACAAAGGAACTTCGTCGCAAAGAATCAAACTGGTTTGTGTTGAATCTAGCGTTAGCCGATCTTTTGGTTTCTTTGACGGTAATTCCAGCCTCCTTAGACACTGTAATCAATGGCTATTTTCGTTTTGGAACCTCCTTCAAAGAGTTTATCGGCTTTGCCAATTTTTTGTTCTGTATCTGTAGTATCATGAACTTGCTTCTACTTTCTGTGGACCGCTGGTTTGCAATCGTTAAGCCATTTAGATACTTGCAAGTCATAACACCGAAAAAAGCCAGTGCTGCATGCTTATTTGTTTGGTTTTATTCAATGCTCTGTGCTTTACCACCCAAGTTTGGAATCAGCTCATATTACTGTTTTATTCCAAATATAGACAATTGCGATCTCGAAAAGGACTGGTCGGGATCAAAAAATGCGTTAATTTTTGCCGTCGCAGTTCTTGGTTTATCGTACTGTCTCGCTTTGGCTGTCATGGTATTGTTGTATTGGAGGATTTTTCGAATCACCCGATCACACATTCGGAGAATAAATGTACAACATTCCCTACGGAGCCGAGTGGAAACAAGCGAATATTCGGAACAAAAAGAACGTCCAGTTGATGATTTTAGTACTGTCATCTCAAACGTACTAGAAATCGAGGATACAGCAACAAAGCGCTATTTGTCTAGTAGAAAAATGCGATCGTCGAGAAAAAATCGCAAGTGGACTAACCAGAATCAATTTCCGCGGGCATCGGACATTCAAACTGCAAAGAGTTTTCTTATCGTTATTGGCGTCTATTTTCTTTGTTGGACACCGTTTTGTTTTATGTTGATGTTGGACATCATAATGAGTAAAAAGATAAATCAAACAGGAGCCTTAATCGGCTTGTGGATAGGATATGCAAACAGTTGCTTGAATCCTGTCATTTACACGTGGAAATATAAACAATTTCGACATGCTTTAGTGTCTACTAGGAAAAAATTACGGGAGAAATTTTTTGTTAAATAAGAAACGATAACAGTTGTCTCAATAACTAACATTAAGACAATCATTGTACGAGATGCAGAGACGGCCGGGTTTAAAATAATCAGGCAAGTTTTTTTAAAACTCAGTGAGCATCAGTGATTGTTATGCTTTTCTGTTTGTAAATGTCTGTCATTAACTTTTATACTACGTGCAACACCAAGAAAGGCTCAAGAAGGCGTTCTTGAAAACGGGGTTAAAACCGCGCTTTTAAAATCGTTTCTCAATTTGTTCATAAACTGCCGGGCATCATCATCATCGTCATCATCATCATCATGATTATAATCATCATCATTATCATTATCATAATCATCATCATCATCATCATCATCATCATCATTACCCACATTATCTCCTCATTAATAATAGTCGTCGTCATCATTATCATAAAGACCACCACCACCACCACTACCACCACCACCATCATCATTTAGGCCAAAGTAAAACTGTATTATCGATTAACTTCAATAATTGAATGTGGGTTGAAAAGTAAAAAAAAAAAGGCTGCCAAGTAAACACAAATTACTGCATTTTCAAGAGAAATAAACATGTCACGGAAACAATTTAACAATTTTTCGCAAATTAACACCTCCGGTTTTTCTGAGGTCCTTAAGTAGACCTGAAGTCTTTTGAGCCGAGACCAGGGTAATTGATGGTTAGCCGATATGAATAGAACCTTCACATCCGTAGGTTACAGGAACAGTAGCCATGATTGCCCATACAAATCCTTATATGTCGAAGGTTACGTAACAATGCCGATGCTCGGGCTCAGCTTGCGGTCGTGACGTAAAAGCAATCATTTTGAGTTCAATGTGGGCTTAACGAAACATCTGCGGATTCCCTGGAGTCCTAAAGTCTTCTTGAAGTGTTTTGAGCCGGGACCAATTTGTAGCAGAATACAAGAAAACCCGCTCCCGCTGGCAATAGTGATAACATAAAGAGCATAAACAACACATTTTGCACTGTAAACATGACCAGGAGTCTCCTGACATGACTATATGCCAGAAAACAGCAAAAAATTAAAATGACTCGATGAAATACCATATTTCTCTTGTTGCTTCCTATTTTTTTGATAGCATTTTTTTTTTCGTTGTCAGATTTTCTCCAGTTTTTTTTTCTTGCCTGTAGTTACTAGCAGGAGCCCATAAAATTGATGGGCTCCTGTTACTACTAATTATTTTTTGTTTTATTGATGAAAAACAAACCAAACTTTTATTTATCTTGCAAGTTAAGCAGTAAGTTCTTGGTTATGAAAGAAATAACGCAACTTATTGCAGATTAACTATTTCACAGTCACAAGAGAATAATGGAAATCCCATATCCTTTCTTGATTCGATTAAAAAAAACTTGCCATGAACATTATATAGGCGTCTTAACACAGGTTTCTCAACGTTGGACGAAGATTGAGAGAGAGACCCGGGGAGAGAGACAAACCAGCTCCAATAACATCGATAAAATGGCCATAAATTGGCTCGTGGACCACACAGCAAAGAATAAAAACCCAACGTAAGTGATAGTCAGCCGATATTTAATGAAAAGACCCTTCAAATTCGATTCGTAGGTTACAGGAACAATCGCTTTTCTCCATAATCCTTAAATGTGTTTGGAGGGTTACGTAACTTTGGAGCTGGGGCTAACTGTGGTCCTACCTAAAAGCATTTTGAGTTCACAGCAGACCAAGAAAACGTAATAACTCCACAATGAATCAGCTATAGCAACTGTGAAATTCTCAGATACCATCGCTGCCACCAATATTTTAATGTGCTTGCAGTCGATCGGCATGCAATCCTCTTTTCCCCAACCCACCCCACTGCTCCTGCGGTCAATAATTCCCCCTGCGGTTTTTATTTCCATACGCGCGCTCGACGATCTCTAAAAAGGAAATAGAGGAACAAGCTAGAGCAGCCAAACCCGCTCTACAGACCCCCGCTTATAATACGGACACCTCATTATTATGAACAGTTTGCTTTGCCCCTGGGAAGAGAAAGACCCTAACATTTTTTCTAAATCCGACACTCCGTAGCCTCCCACGCAAACGTTCTTAGGGGTTCGTCACGCAATCTTTCCTCCCCCACGACGTTCGTGGGGGAGGAAAGATTGCGTGACGAACCCCTAAGAACGTTTGCGTGGGAGGCTAGACACTCCGTTAATACGGACACTTTTTATGGCTCCTTCAGAGTCCGTATCAAGGTATTAATTTCCCCCTCCCCTCCCCCTTTGCATGTGCTCTCAATAAATCCCCCCCACCCCCGCAGTTTTTATGTTTGGCAGCTGTGAACTCAAGCTGTGAACAGGCTAGCAATCCTGTAACAGGCTGGTTAGCAATGCTCAAACGGGTAAAAATTGACAGAGAAAGCCTGGTTCACACTGCTAAGAGCCAGCCTGGTTCAAATATAAACCAAAAGGCTGACATTTGAACACCCTCAATTTCTTCCCCTCCGATTTCACTTTCTTCCCTTTCCCGCGGTGGGGGTGGGGGGGAGGTGGTTTTCCCGCATGAAAATGCGGGATGTTCGTCGTCTTTGGTCTTAATCAGGAGCCCATCAAATTTGATGGGCTCCTGTCTCACTTTAATAGGGGGTTCAGGACGGAGTGCCGAGGGGGTGAAATAAAGCCCGAGTTTCGTCCAGATTTGCCTCCTTTAGGACTTTTTAAATTCGTTTCCGACTTTTACATGGGAGTTCCCTGTCCCCCGGGGGGGGGGGGG